CCTCAAACCCATCTGCAAGCAGATTAATCACTGGCAGATCCCCTTCAGCCACAGGCAAAGGTCTGGACCAGCCTTACTATCAAACATAGATCATTGCAATCCTGATTATGCCAGATAAAACTTGATAACTGGCCAGTTGACCTCCCTCTGAACCCAACCTGAATTTGCTCTAGGCACAAGGATTTCTTGCTTGTTCCATGACAAAAATTCATTCCCAGGCTTTTAAATATTGATGGAGGTCTTTTCTTTCTTGCTCAGTGTTGGTATTCTTGTCTTTATAATAGGATTGTTTTATCCTTACCACATCATTTCATTTTTGTTCTTTATTGTTTCTGTTGGGTCTAACAGTTTGTGAAGCACAGAAGGAGTGGATGCACACAGAGAATAAATAACTGATGCCAGGGTTTACAGGGGCAGAGGGGGGAAATGGGGAGAGTAAGGGGATTTCTGGAATAAACAATGAAGGCAGAGGGGAGGGAGCACTAGAACTGAATATGATTACACAACTCTTTTTAAAGGTGATTTGATCGTGGGGGAAAATAGGAAGGAAATGTTCTGAAATTGATTGTGGCAATGATTGTCCAATTCTTCTTGAGATGATGGAATGACTGGAAGTATATGATATGTGGATTATGTGCCAAATAAAACTGGGACTAAGAAGTAATTGGCAAAAATAAAAAGAGTTACCACCTCAGACACTCACAAGTGCAGTTCTACCAGTCCTAGAGGGGCTCTTTGAGTGGGCACTGACTCCGTGGCAGTCAGTTTGGCTTTTGGGGTTTTTTTTTTCTTGCCTGAGAATCTCATTTTACTGGGATATGATTAGAAGTGAAACGTATTGAACCTGGTTTGCAATGGACGACAGTGGAAGCCCAAAATGCATTTGCAGGGTCCACACCTGGATTACGCCTCCAGTGAATCCCCTCTGACCGTAGTCAAAGGTTGTGGATAGCCTTGTTATCATCAGACAGAGAGAATTGGAAAGTCAATTATGGCAGATGTACTTAGTTTAAAATGCAATTTCTTATCGTTGGATCTCCCCTTTGACCCATTTTGAAGTTGTTTCCGTTTTTTAAAAAGCAGTGAAGGGGAAACCTCCTGGGTTAAGCCTCCAAGCCTCGGGTGAATCCCCTCAGACCACAGACTAGGGGTGGGAACAGCCCTGCTATCAGACAGTGCCTTGGAAAGTGGATTATTGCAGATGTTGACACCTTATCATTTGAGCTCCCCTTTGACCCATAAATTTGTTATAGTTTTTCATGTTTTCTGCTTTCTTTCCAATTGAGGTGTTCCTGTTTTGCATTGTTACTCATGTTGATCCTTTTGTTGTTGTTTTTGAATATTGTCCTGTATATAAAATCCGGGATAGGTAAATCTATAGAGACAACTGGATTAGTGGTTGCGTGGAGGTATGGCAGGGAACGTTTCGGGGCTATGGGGAACTAATAACAATGAGTACAAGAAAGAAAATGTTCTAAAATGGATTATGGTAATGATTGTACAAATCTTCTCAATATAGTTGAACTATTGAATTATATATGTGAATTATATGCCAATAAAACAGTTGGTTTTCTTTGTTTTGTTTTTTAAAGAGGAAATACATTGGAATTTTCCTTGCTGCTAGGTTTGAAGTCTCCCTGGTTAACTCTTTTAGATGAAAGTGATAAGGTCGTAGGGAATTCTTGGCAAAATGAAAAGACTTCTCTCTGTAATCTTTTAGTCCCGTCTTTCCAGACCTGCTGCAAGCATCTATGGCTTTGGTGGCATGCGCTTTTGTGATCTAGATACATTTCTTTCCCCCATTTATCCCTGAAGGCTAGCTGTGAGGCATTGGCCTGGGATCCTCAGGGTCCAAAGTTGGAAATCACCAGCCGGCCCTTAGGGAAAAGATGTGAATTTCTACTCTCATAAACAGTTACAGGCTGGGAAATCCACAAAGGCAGTTCTACCTGCCCTATAGGGTCACTATGAGTTGGCATTGACTCGTGATGGCAGAAGTTGAGTGGGTGGATTTATCCCAAATGGTGGTTACACATCGGTATGCTAAACACAAGGTCAGCAGTTCAAAACTACCAGCAGCTCTGAGGGAGAAAGAGGAGGCTTGCTACTCCCATTAAAAGTTCCCATCTCTGAAATCCACAGAGGCAGTTCTACCCAATCCTCTAGGGTTGCTGTGAATCCGATTTGACTTGGTGGCAGTGAGTGAAGGATTGATCCCAAACGGAGATTTCCCCATTCTAGATGTATATTAGTACCACCATTCTAGCAGCCCAATTTTGCTTTTCTTAAATAGGCAACGGATCTGAGACTCTCCAGCGCCTTAGTTTGACCTTAGTCTCAACGCTCCCAAGGCTCGTGGGGAGCCCTCGCCGTGGCCCAGTGCGGAGCGAGGCGCCCGCGGCACTGTCCCAACCCCTCCCCCTCCCCGTGCGCGTCCAGGTGGAGCCCACCTGTCCCGGAGCGCGAGCGCCCCCTGGCGGCGGCTGGAGGAGGGCGCGAGCAAGGATTCCCGGGTCCGGGTAAGAGGGGTGCGGGGAGGTGGGGATCGACCCCTGCCTAGAGTTGGGGGGCGCTCGGAGGTGCAGAATCACTCTGCCTAAAACAAACCAGCTTCGGCTCCGTAGCTGTCCCCGGCCCGCTCCCGCTGGCTCTGGAGGTGCGTCGGCAGCGTGGGGACCTCCTCTCGGGACCCCGCTCGCTCGCAGCCGCGCGCCCCGGGTCGCTCCGTTTCCGGGAGCGCGGACTGCGCGCCCCAGGGTTGGCCAGGTTCAGGGGCGCGCGCGCGCGCGCGGGGGTCCGAGGGGCGGAGCCCCGGGACGGGGGAGGCCTTGTCATCGCTGGCAGTGGGACAATGCCGACTTTTGAACCTCTAACCACTAAGCAAACAACCCTTGTGCTCTCGCTCCACTGTCCAAACAGGGTTTATTGACAGGCGTTTCGCGGCAACGCATAGCAACGCGGCCCGGCGGGGGCGCGGCCTGGGCTGGAGCGGGGGCGCAGGCACCTCCTGCCGCTCGGCCCGCCTGACCAACGTGCCTCGGGGGGGGTCCTGCGCGCTCGCATGGCGCCCGCCGACTCCAGCGCCAGGGCCCTTCCTCAATCCCCAGCGGGATCCGACCCCCACCTTCAAGGGTCCAGTTGGGGAGGGACTCTAGGGCCTTCCCTTGTCCTCCCAGCCCTGGAGAGCCGTTGAAAGGGTCTGAAGATGCTGGGGGTGGGAGGAGGAGAAGGCGCGCGGAGAGAAGGACCAAGATGAAGGGCAAAAGCCCTTCTCCCCAGGACCCAACCCTCTAGGGTCCCCAAACTCAAGGACCACGACCCACTCCCAGATATCAGCCAGATAAGCAGCCTCCAACACTGTTGGGATCTTCTCACCCTGGTGTGTGCGGGTGGGTGAGAGAGGGTGAGTTGTGACACCCACGAGTGACGTGGGTGGTGGCGCCGACTCCAGAACTGTTCAGTGAAGGTGGTTTTCAGAATACTATCATCTAATGGTCTTGGGGCGAAGGGAGGGGCAAAAACCCATTTGTACTTAGGGCTTAAGTTGAACTCACTGGATGGTGGGAAGCAGCCGCTGAGCAAGGAGAGCCCTGGTGGGGACAGCTGCTGAGATGCTGAGGTGGGGCCGGGGGCCTCTCTCCCTGCACTGAAGCCCCAGCAGCTGGAAGCCAGTTGACCATGCAGATGTGCGTTTTTTTGCCCCAAGGGACCACGCCCCCAGGAGAACAGAAAATTCCAGTAAGGCAGGCCCCAGGCTTGGGGGCAGGGCAGGTCCCCACTGCGGCTCCCTCCCTCAAGCTTCAGCCGCTCGGGGGTAAAAGGAGGCTGTGTAGATAATTGAACACTCCTCCTCCCTGATTTTTCAAATTCTCGTGGGCAATCAGAGTTCTTTTGGTTTCTGCCCACCCCACCCCCACCCCCAACCTCTTCTTTTTGAAAAAGGACCCCGCCAGACCCAATCTGAGGAACAGAAATAACAGAATCTGAAAACCTCATTTTATCCCATTTCTTGTTAGAAAATAGTCAATTGTGTTCAAATAGCACATCCCCCTCCCCCAAGACACAGGGCCGTTCACCAGGTCACTTCTCACCACCCCCCTCCCAATGGGTCCGGAAGGCTGTGGAAATGCGGGCTTGGATGTTTCACAGACCAGCAACCCAAGCAGTAGCCACTACCACAACCACCACAAGGAAAACATCCCCTTTCATCAGCTCCAGGATTGGGGACAGGGCAGCAGGCGTCCAGGCTGTCTCTGGCTTTTATGGCCAGGGGCATACATTCAGCCCCAGGGGTCCCAGTGACAGGCTTTCTAAACAAGGGCCCCTTTGCCAGGCCTGGAGTCCAATGACACCCCCCCACCCCCACCCCGCTTGTACCATTGGCTATATAGACACACCCCAGCCAAGCCTGTCCTGGTCTGGAAATGGGTGGGGAGGGGGTGGGGGAGAAGAAAGACCCAGGCCGCCCTGGGGGTTGTCCAGCCTCTGGTCCAGGCTTCTATCTTCGCCCCTCTGGCCCCTGCAGTGAAATCTCCCCTGCCCCCAGGTAGAAGGGGCCAGCTGGTCCTTAGAAAGCAGAGGCTAGGCAACCACCATGTTGGTGGTGGACACTGCTTTCTTCTGGAGTCCGGGTGTGAGATATGGCCATCATCCAGAAGGTCTTGATGGTGATGATGCAGTAGGGAGGGCAGTCAGTCCAGGCGAGGGCTCTGCCAAGATTCCATGACCATTTCCTGGCAGATGGGAGTCAGATGGGGGGATGGAAGGGGGTGGTCGGAGGGCGGGTCAAAACTGGGAAGAACCGTCTTCCTGAAGGCCCCCTTCGTCATGAGTCTTGACAGCTGCCCTCCCCCGCCTCTAAGAGCCCCTGTGAGTCGGTGGACAATTGTAGGTGTGGAGGGACTGGTCCTCCGGAAGATTCTAGATGGCTCCGTGGTACTCATGGCTCAATCTGAAACAGTTCTGCCGCAGACCTGGAACTGCAAGCCACTGCCTGGGGGTCACTGGGTGACAGTGGGGTTCAGCACGCCTCCAGCTGGTCCCAGAACCCCAGGGACCGCACCCTGTAGGGAAGACACGGGGCTCAGGGGCTCCGGGATGTTTCTCAGAGGGCCAGGCTGAGGCTGGGGTGGTGGCTGTTGGGACGGCGGCGGTGGCTGCTGCTGCTGCTGCTGCTGCTGCTGCTGCTGTAACTTCTTCTTGTTGATTTTCCTTTCCTTGGCTCGACGGTTCTGGAACCAAATTTTAACCTGGAGATGGCAGAGCAGGAGGAAAGAGAAGGCAGTGAAGGAGGAGAGGAAGAGTATCCAGCACCACGCCGACTTTCTCCGGCCCAGCCCAGTTCTTCTGTCCACCAGGCTCTCAACAGTCCCACCCAGGAAGCAGCTGCAGGCTCCGCTGGACAGTGCAATCTTGCTCCCCAGCTGTTCCAGAAAATCTCAGAGCTACGGAGAACCAAGGAAGTGGAGACTGGGGCCGGATGTGCTCTCAACGGCTACCTTTGGAAATGTAATATTCTTCACCTGGGAACTGGACATGTCTCCTGCAGGGCTTTCTGGTTGTGCAGTTGCTGGGTACCTCTTCCCTACCTCTTCCCCTCCCCTCACCTTGGTGTATATAGAGCTTTCCTCAGTTAAGCCTCACCCTCTGGGTTTTATGGGCTGAGATTGGGTCTTATATTTATTTATTTTTCCCAGCACTGCGTTGGGCACAAAGAAAATCAGTCTTTGAAGAAGCCCTTTCCCCCTCAACTAAATAGAATTCTGGAATCAGCTAACACCCCCTGGCATTGTCTTTTGTTTCCTGGGTTTTCCAAAATAGAGGGGGAGGGGGGCACCCCCAAATCAACAACCTCAAAGACAATCAAAAGCGGAAGGAGTAACAGCCTTGGAAACCCACAGGGGCAGTAGTTCTCTGCCATCCTTTGGGGCCTGTACATATCGGCAGGCATGGACTTGATGGCAGTGGGTTTTGGGGGAATCTAAGCTAAAACCAGACTCGCTGCCATCGAGTCGATTCCGGCGTACAGCGACCCTGTAGGGGAGGGGAGGACGGATGGCCCCAGTGGGGTCCTAAGAGTCTCAATCTTTGGGACAGTAGTGGCTTCCTCTTTGCATTACAGCGGGCAATTGCTAACCAGAAAGGTCAATGGTCCGAACCCACCCAACCTTTCAGAGGGAGAAGGGCCTGCCCATCAGCTCTCATACAAAGAGTCAAATAATCAAAGCTAGCAGCCCACCTGTAAATGTTACAAGTTAGTGAACACTGGGCGGCCATTCTACTCTGTGAGCGGGATCCACTCTGGGGCACACCACCACTGCCACCACCACATCAAAACTGCCTCCGCAAGCCTTTCTAGTCATGACAGAAGCAGAGCACCAGGTCTTTGTTCGGCCCCAACCCTGTGAGTTCCAGCCATCCCCCATGGGGTTGGGTAAGCAGCCTGTCACTAAACCCTTGCTCTACCCAAACCCACTGCCATGGAGTGGAGTCCATTCCTCCTCACCGGGACCTGGTAAAGCAGAGTAGAACTGCCCCTTTGGGTTTGAGCAGCCGGCTTCAGAAAGCCTCATCCTTCCCCCTGGTGAGTTTAAACCACTGATCTGGTGGTTGGCAGCCCAAGTGGAGAACCAGGCCTCCACTTTAAACAGGAAACCAATAGAAAGGTAGGGAATCTGAGGCTGGGCTCTCTGACTCACCCCAACGGGGCTCCCTGCCCCTTGAGCTCTGGGAGATTCTCACCTGCCGCTCGGAGAGCCCCAGCGTGGCGGCCAGCTCGGCCTTCCTGCGAATGGTGATGTAGCGGCTGTAGTGAAACTCTTTCTCCAGCTCCAGCCGCTGATGGTCCGTGTACACCACTCTGTATTTGTCTTTCGTCCGGGTTTTCACTGCGGAGCAGGGACAAGTTAGCGCCCTACGCTACCAGACGGCCATCCGTCATGGGTAATGACAAACTTCCTTAACCCAAGGGCCATTTCTCTTCCTCCACCACGCCAGGGGGCCTCGGGGTTCCTGCCGAGTCTGACAAGACCCCCCACAGGGCTGGGGGTGGGGGAAGGGGTGAGACCACCGGACCACAAAAAACTAACCTGGGGTTGTTCGGTTAAGGGAAAAAACAAAACCCTCTTACACAGAAAACGCACAGCCGGATTTGTTTTATTTTTTCATTTTATTTTATTTTTTTGGTCACCGGCAGATGGACCCTCCTAAGGGGGACAATATGAAGGGGCTGAGTGGTACTAGCGTCAGGAAGGTCCACCTTCTCACGCTTTCAGAGAAAGAGATTCAGCTTGAGAAATAGAGAGAAAGTGGGAATGTGTTTCTGAGAGGTGTTACTTTCTGTTTGCTTTACAGGTAAAATAGGGGTTCAAGAGCCACCCCACCTGCCATCCTCACCCCGCTACAGCGAATTATCAGAATTGCCCCCCAACCCCCACCCCAGGCCCATCTGGGGGCAATTCCCAGGCGGCGCCGGAGGCCCTTAACCAACACTGGCCTGCGGACAGCCCCACCCCACCCCCGCCACTGGGGGTATTTTCTACCTGGCTGGACCAGGTTTGGCACAGGGCGCTTTTTCTTTTTAATTCCTCATTTATTTCGGCCTCCACATGCCGCCCACAGGGCTATCCCGACTCCCGATCTCTGTTCATCCGAGTGAGTCAACATATTAAAGCCATGGTTGATTGTTTGACTGTAGGGTTTTGACAAATAACCTGGCGCTGTCGGATTAGGCCGCAGCCCAGCGTCCCTGCGAGTCGGTGCTGGGGCTCTGGGCCGCGTCCCGGCTCCCCAGGCGGACCAGAGGGTCTGGGAGTTCCCCGGAGGTGTTTAAGCTCCGCAGGCCGACTTTGTTCAGGTAAAGCCCCTTTCAAACCACAACAAAAGCGCCCTGGGAAGATAGGGGTCGGATCAGAGGACGCTCTCCGGGCCTCAGAAAGGGTCACCGGGAGGCAAACAATGCCCGACAAGCCGATCTTATCAAAGAAAAGCCCTTTCAATGCCTTAATAACCACCGCATTCTGTTTGAATTACCACTACTGAGCAAATGGGCGCCCCGGCTTTCATCGCCCTCCCCGCCGGCGTATTAGCATAAACACGGCCGCGCGCATTTGAATGGCCGCTGCGTGCCGACCCCGGGCAGCCAGGGACACGGAGGAAACTCACAGGCCCGCAGTTGCTTTCCTCGTGTGCTCGCCCCGAAGCCCACTCGCGGCTGCCACGCGGCCTCCTCTTTTAGGGAGAGAGGAGGACTCTTTGGAGCAAGCAGGTCGCCGGGCTTCTGGCACTGAAGCCCGCGGGCAAATCCACAGGACGCACCCCAGGGCCTGTGAGCCCCAGGGTCCCCCAGCCGAACGGCCTAGGTTCTTTTGACCACGGAGTCGCTTTTGCTAGGGCGCTGCCCTTTCAGGGTGCCGGGCGGAATGTGGTCACCAGGCCGCTGGGCGCTCGGGAACTCGCGCCCCCAAGCCTTGGAGGCGCCCCACACCCCCTGGGAACCGAAGACGGGTTGGAGGAAGGGAAGGGTGCGAGGGACTTGTTAGAATTCATTATTGACTGCGAAAGTCACCACCCTCTTTCCGGGGCCCTAAAAGAGACAATGGCTGGGCTGGGGAGGTGTATATCAAAGCAGACCGGGCCGCGCGCTCCCCCCCACCCCTCCGCCCCTTGACAGATGAGGCTCCGCAGAGAAGTCCGGCCCGGCCCGCAGCCCCAGCCTCCTACATTAACATCACAAGGGCGCCCGGCGCCGACCAAGGCCTTGCCACCTCCGCGCGGGGTTCACAGCGGCCCCTCATCTGCTGACCCTGCGGCCTGGGCTCCTACGGCTCCACTCCGCCCTCCCCTCCCACCCCACCCCCGTGGCCACTGCCCGAGGAAGCACAGAAGGCCCTCCTTAGGACGTCCGCGCCCCTGGCCAGCGCGCCCAAGGCAGGCTCCCTGGAGCACCGTTTTTGGTGCGATTGGTGCCCCCTCGGAGGATAGCAAAGGGCCCTAGCCCAAGTGCGGAGGTTCTCCTAGACCTGACCCACTGGTGACCCACTGGTCTCCCCGGGTGGCCGCTTTTCCCACCCAGGCGCCAGAGAGTCCTCAGAGCGGTAGAAGCCGAAGCCAAGACAGCTCTCCCGCTGTGGCTCTGTTGTACACGGCTGTAAAGGTCCTCGGCGCCCCTATGGGCGGGCGACGAGTACAGGGAGGGCAGAGATAGAGGCGGAAGCAAGTGGGACTGCAGGAAACGGTCAAGAAATGAAAACGCACCTCCGACAGGCCTGTGGCGCCACACCTATTTGCCTTCCTTCCCACTAGCCCCTCATCCCGGTACCAGTTCCCGGGCC